AGCCACATGGGGGTCCCGAAACATGGAGAGCCAAGATGATGGATGTGGTACTTGAAAACCTCATACATCAACATGTCAGGGACACAACCAGGAGAGAGGGGAGGATGAGCCAGCAAGACTGGATCTTGTGTTCACCCTGAGCAGTTCAGACATTGAAGACATCACTTATGAGAGGCCCCTTGGAGCTAGCGATCACGTGGTTCTGAGTTTTGATTATATAGTAGAGTTACAAGTGGAGAGGGGGAACAGGAACTGAAGGGGACAGGCAAACTATAAAAGGGGGACTACACAGGTATGAGAAACTTCTGCAGGAGGTTCAGTGGGACAGAGAAATGGTAGGAAAATCAGTTAAACGAGATGATGGATATGTGGCAACAAATGCAAGGAGGCAGAGGAAAGTTTTGTTCCCAAGGGGAAACAGAAATAATAGGAAGACCAAAACGAGTCCTTGGTTTACCCGAAGGTGTAGGGAGGCAAAAACTAAGTGCAACAGAGAATGGAAAAGGTACAGGAGGCATAGGACCAGGAAAACAAGGAGATTAGTAGAAGAGCCAGAAACGAGTATGCACAGAATAAGGGAGGGAGGCCCAGCGACAGTATGAAAACGACATAGCATCGAAAGTCAAATCTGACCCGAAATGCTGTACAGCCACATTAGGAGGAAGACAACAGTCAAGGACCAGGTGATAAGGCTGAGGAAGAAGGTGGAGAACTCACAAGAAACGATCAAGAGGTATGTGAGGAGCTCAACACGAGATTTAAGGAAGTATTTACAGTAGTAGAGCAGGAAGGACTCTGGGAGGACAGACCGATGGGGACACCAGCAAGGAATACACCAACAAGTGTTGGACGACATACATACAGATTGAGGAGGTGTGAAGAAACTGCTAAGGGACATCGATACCTCAAAGGCAATGGGACCGGACATACTCCCAGTGGGTCCTTAGAGAGGAGCGATATGTTGTGCGTGCCACTTACCACAATCTTCAACACGTCCCTGGAAACTGGGCAACTACCTGAGGTATGGAAGACGCAAATGTAGTTCCCATTTTTAAAAAAGGAGACAGAAAAGAGGCACTAAACTATAGACCTGTGTCATTGACGTGTATAGTATGCAAAATTATGGAGAAGATTATCAGGAGGAGAGTGGTGGACACCTGGAACTGAACAAGAGTATAAATGCCAACCAGCACGGATTCACGGAAGGCAAATCCTGTTCACAAACTTCTGGAGTTTTATGATAAAATAACAGAAGTAAGACCGGAGAGAGGGGTGGGTTGATTGCATCTTCTTGGACTGCAAGAAGGCTTTGACACAGTTCCTCACAGAGATTAGGCAGAAGCTAGGCTCAGGCGCATATAACAGGAAGGCACTGCAATGGATCAGAGAATACTGACAGGGAGGAAACAACGAGTCATGGTACGTAATGATGTATCACAGTGGGCACCTGTGACGAGCGGGGTCCCACAGGGGTCGGTCTAGGACCAGTGCTATTTTTGGTATATGTGAACGACATGATGGAAGGGTTTAGACTCAGAAGTGTCCTGTTTGCAGATGATGTGAAGTTAATGAGGAGAATTAAATCTGATGAGGACCAGGCAGGACTTCAAAGAGACCTGGACAGACTGGACACCTGGTCCAGCAAATGGCTTCTCGAATTTAATCCTGCCAAATGCAAAGTCATGAAGATAGGGAAGGGCACAGAAGACCACAGACAGAGTATAGGCTAGGTGGCCAAAGACTGCAAACCTCACTCAAGGAGAAAGATCTTGGGGTGAGTATAAAACCGAGCATGTCTCCGAAGCACACATCAATCAGATAACTGCTGCAGCATATGGGCGCCTGGCAAACCTGAGAACAGCATTCCGATACCTTAGTAAGGAATCGTTTCAAGACACTGTACACCGTGTATGTCAGGCCCATACTGGAGTATGCAGCACCTGTTTGGAACCGCACTTGATAAAGCACGTCAAGAAACTAGAGAAAGTACAAAGGTTTGCGACAAGGTTAGTTCCAGAGCTAAGGGGAATGTCCTATGAGAAAGATTAAGGGAAATCGGCCTGACGACACTGGAGGACAGGAGGGTCAGGGGAGACATGATAACGACATATAAAATACTGCGTGGAATAGACAAGGTGGACAAAGACAGGATGTTCCAGGGAGGGGACACAGAAACAAGAGGCCACAATTGGAAGTTGAAGACACAAATGAGTCAGAGAGATATTAGGAAGTATTTCTTCAGTCACAGAGTTGTAGGGCAGTGGAATAGCCTAGAAAATGACGTAGTGGAGGCAGGAACCATACACAGTTTTAAGACGAGGTTTGATAAAGCTCATGGAGCGGGGAGAGAGAGGGCCCAGTAGCAACCGGTGAAGAGGCGGGGCCAGGAGCTAAGACTCGACCCCTGCAACCACAAATAGGTGAGTACAAATAGGTGAGTACACACACACACACACACACACACACACACACACACACACACACACACACACACACACAGACCAGTGTCACTGACATGTATAGCATGCAAAATCATGGAAAAGATTGTCAGGAGAAGAATGGTGGAACATCTAGAAAGGAATGATCTCATCAACAGCAGCCAACATGGATTCAGAGATGGGAAATCCTGTGTCACAAACCTACTGGAGTTCTATGACATGGTGACAGCAGTAAGACAAGAGAGAGAGGGGTGGGTGGATTGCATTTTCTTGGACTGCAAGAAGGCGTTTGACACAGTACCACACAAGAGATTAGTGCAAAAACTGGAGGACCAAGCAGGGATAACAGGGAAGGCACTACAATGGATCAGGGAATACTTGTCAGGAAGACAGCAACGAGTAATGGTACGTGGCGAGGTGTCAGAGTGGGCACCTGTGACCAGCGGGGTCCCACAGGGGTCAGTCCTAGGACCAGTGCTGTTTCTGGTATTTGTGAACGACATGACGGAAGGAATAAACTCTGAGGTGTCCCTGTTTGCAGATGACGTGAAGTTGATGAGAAGAGTTCATTCGATCGAAGACAGGCTGCAGACCTGGTCCAGCAACTGGCTCCTGGAGTTCAATCCCACCAAGTGCAAAGTCATGAGGATTGGGGAAAGGCAAAGAAGACCGCAGACGGAGTACAGTCTAGAGGGCCAGAGACTACAAACATCACTCAAGGAAAAAGATCTTGGGTGAGTATAACACCAGGCACATCTCCTGAAGCGCACATCAACCAAATAACTGCCGCAGCATATGGGCGCCTGGCAAACCTCAGAACAGCATTCCGACATCTTAATAAGGGATCGTTCAGGACCCTGTACACCGTGTACGTTAGGCCCATATTGGAGTATGCGGCACCAGTTTGGAACCCACACCTAGCCAAGCATGTAAAGAAACTAGAGAAAGTGCAAAGGTTTGCAACAAGACTAGTCCCAGAGTTAAGAGGTATGTCCTATGAGGAGAGGTTAAGGGAAATCAATCTGACGACACTGGAGGACAGGAGAGATAGGGGGGACATGATAACGACTTACAAAATACTGAGAGGAATTGACAAGGTGGACAAAGACAGGATGTTCCAGAGACTGGACACAGCAACACGGGGACACAGTTGGAAGCTGAAGACACAGGTGAATCAAAGGGATGTTAGGAAGTATTTCTTCAGCCACAGAGTAGTCAGGAAGTGGAATAGTTTGGGAAGCGATGTAGTGGAGGCAGGATCCATACATAGCTTTAAGCAGAGGTACGATAAAGCTCATGGTTCAGGGAGAGTGACCTGTAGCGACCAGTGAAGAGGCGGGGCCAAGAGCTTGGACTCGACCCCTGCAACCTCAACTAGGTGAGTACAACTAGGTGAGTACACACACACACACACACACACACACACACCACACACACACACACACACATATATATATATATATATATATATATATATATATGTGTGTGTGGTGTGTGTGTGTGTGTGTGTGTGTGTGTGTGTGTGTACTCACCTAATTGTGGTTGCAGGGGTCGAGACTCAGCTCCTGGCCCCGCAGACTCAGCTCAGTGTGTGTGTGTGTGTGTGTGTGTACACTGAGTGGTGTGTATCTCAGTGGCGAAGGTATATTATATATAATTATTATTATTATTAACAAACGGTAAATCATACAACGCCTGAATAATGGAAAAGTTGGATAATGGGGCTGGTTGGGGTAATCAGGTACAACAGGACGTGTTGAGCCATGTCATTAAGGGATTAAGAGCCTCGTCAGAGGATTTTCTCTGACAAATAAATAACCACTACACCAGCGAGGTGCCAACACTCAATGGAAATACGTCACTTTGTCTGACTTTTTTTGGGTTATCCCAGGTTGTCTACACATATGTTGCTGTGTATGATGATCTATGGAACTGTTTGTGTGTGTACCTGAATAAACTTACCTACCTCAGCTTGCTCTTATTCGTACGTACTGCTACTCCACACAAAATGTATAATATAGTACACAGAGATGTGTATCACTGTGTGTATACACACGAAGGGGTGTGTACCTCTCGTGGGTGGTGAGTGTGGTTTCAAGCCTATCTACTACGTGACCTGTCCACCAGCAGAGAAGAATATTTTAATTTCTAAGATAGGGAGTAAAGTGTCAGCACACTGAGGTTAATACACTTTCCGGTGTATACATCTTCTGTATTATTATTAGGTTAGGTTAGGTAAGGTTCGTCAGGAAACAGGACAAGTGTTTCCTGACGCGGGTCTTAGTTATATGATGACCCGTAGCTGGGGCTTTTGGTCATCTGACCGAGGCCTTCCGCTGGCTTACCCCTCCACCTCTTTAAACATTAGTTATAAATAATGTGAATTTTATTATAGTTATTATTATTATTATTATTATTATTATTATTATTATTATTATTATTATTATTATTATTATTTATGTGAAGAATAAACACTGTAAACCTCTTGGATAATTAATAATAATAATAATAATAATAATAATAATAATAATAAATTTCAGTGCTCCAATATGATTATATTGACAGAAAGCACTAAAGTCTATGGGTTTAAGACGCAGGTTTTAATGGGACGTTGTTAACAAAGGCTGAAGTTCGTGGTGGATCACTTTCTGGATCATGACGGATGTGAAGCTTGTTATTGATGATCACCTGTTTCCTGGCGTCGGTGCTGGAGGAGGACTGCTCTCTTACTTCCCTCACACCCTGACGGTGCTCTCCTGAGCCTGACGAGATAACCACGCTCTCTTGAGTGCTGTGCTGTGCTTCTGGAGTCTTGGTAGTTGTTTGAGACGTGTTTGTGGTAGAATGAGAGCTGCTGATAGCTGTGTTAGTGGTCGTGTTCACTCGGAGGGCGTCATGGTTTGTGATGTTTGTGTGTCTTGTCTTCAGGTCTGTCATGAAGCTTCGAAGTGGGTTTGTTTTGAGCTGGGTTGTTCTGTTCCTCCTCTTTGTTCATAGTATTGTTTTCCTGTTTAGCGTTCAAGGGAGACTTAAGCTGTGAGATGATTCTCTCCACAGTTTTGCTGTTAATCACAGAATTTAGGAACGAGTTCACAAAAGAACTTAGACCATCAGCTGTTAGCACCACAGACTTGTTGTGGCTTACGTTATACTCGTCTTGAGAGAGATCTTCAGCATTCCCGTTGTTCATCTGGTCGGTGGGTACTCTATTTGTGTGAGACTGACGAAAGTTCATGTTGTTCCTCCCTCGAGGCTTCTTACTTCGGACTAGATCAGAAGCGTTGACTGGTATGTAGCCTTCTGGGTCGTGTGTAACTATTGCGCTAGTGACTCGCACTTCGGGAGGCACCACTGTGTTCCACATCCTCTTCAGGATGGTGGGGATGTCGCTCTGAGATGTGCTTTGATATTCTTTATCTTGCAAGGGTTCTAGTTTTTTGCTCTGAGCGTCTTCGTGATTCAGATGGTCTTCGTACTCGTCTAAGCCTCGCAGGAGGACGTGGAGACCATTCCTGGCATCTTCCACTGCTGTTTTGAGTGGGTGCAGGACCTTCCTGGCCTCCTTGGCTCCTGATCCTGTGTACAAGAAGTAGCCACAGAAAGCCAAGAGTAAGGCTATACTCGACAAGGCTACGAACTGCCCACCTCTACTGGCCTCGTCTTTCACCTTCAGCTGTGTCTGAGTCCTCTCTAGAGTGTTCGTCCAAGGTTTCCCGACTCTGTTTACGAAGTGCTGCTCTTGTTTCCGGCTATCTTTGCTAATGATGTCCATTACCTGGTCTCTCCTGAAGACTTCAGATATCCTACCAGCGTTTATCATAGACTGAAGACTCGTTACTGAAGATTTAGAGTTCATATGCTGAGGCTTGTACTTCGTGTTGACGAAAGCCAAGAGAGGATCCATTTCCTCGGGGTGCCACGGAGAGTAAGAAAATTTCTCATGAGTGCGTTGTGTGGCGCTGTCCTCAGTATTGTGGGAATAAACAGAGGTTCCGTAATGTCGTTGGGGTGGAGAAACTGTAGTAATCAACACTGGGGTCTCCTCCAGCGGCGCCTGGATGAGGGCTTCAGGACGACCGATTATAACTTCGTTTGCGGGTCCTTCTTCAAGAATGGTGTCCCCTTCAGTGCTCTCTCGGTGCTCTGGGCCCCAGTCTTGCCCCTTCACTGGGAGAGTTTGCCCCACTCTCAAGAACATATCTTTCTCAGCACCTCGCTGTAACGCGAGGACTCTACGACCAATCAAATTGCTAGCTTGTGTCTCCATTCCTGGTCCATGAGACTTCTTGGTGATCAATGAAACAGATTTTCCAATAGCCTGTGGATCAGAATGAGACGTTTGAATCACTTGAACGTGAGTATCTGCCTTGCGTTCGTGTTGTAGCTGAGTCTGGTGACTCGGCTGGAACCCGTACGAGGGGAAAATGCCAGAGAAAATGTCCAGCGACTGAGGTGATGTGTTCCCGTGGTTGGTGTTCTTCACGAATGAGAGTTGGCGCTCGTCAGTACTAGCTGCCTCAAAGATACTCTGTATGGAGTCAAGAATTTCCTTCCCGTCTGGAGAAACTTTAACCTTTCCTGAGTTTCTAGTGGAGAAAAGTGTGGCGCTGGCGGCTGCTGACGGGTACACAGTGTTGCCAGTAGATCTAGACGACTGCAGTTCTGGATATTTCGTCTCCTTTGCGTTTCCTGTCACTCTCTGAACACCAGCAACCTTTCGTAAAGAGGCGTTTTTAAAATGCATGCTGGTCATGTCGTGGACAGAGGGCACGCTAGCTGGTGGCGTCGAGGTAGATATATGCTCAAGAATCTGTGGCGAATTGGATATCCTTTTCGTTGTTGAGACGGCGCCAGAGCTCCCGTGACCTGACTCTGGCGTCGAGGTTGGTCCTGCTGGGTTGTTCAGGTTCTCGGTTTTGATCCTCACCTCTGTAGCAAGTTCCTGGTTACCTGTGGTAGAGTCTTGTTCCTTCGCTTGACTCCTGCTGTAAGAATTGTGCCACTCCGAAAGAAAATCGTCAACTTTTGAATGTGGGGCAGATGAATGCTGTAGGGTTCCGGAGAGCGCCTTGGTTGGTCATTTGGCCAGGAGAGTTCTTCAACTGACTGGTTCGTGGGGCCATTGGCAGTCTCCTGGTCAAAGGGAGTTGGTCTTCTGCCTCGGGTAGTGCAATCCCAGGGCGTAGACGGCTACTATCCACACTCACACCTTCAACGTTCCTTCTAGATCCAGCTCTCCTTCCCTGCATCTGCTGTTGTAATCTCTCTCTCACTATCCCAGAGCGATTTAAGAGATTAGGATAGAGGCCGGGTGGAGTTACAAAAGGCCTACGACGCAGTGCAACTGTTGCGGGCTTGTCGTTCAACCCAGCAGTGTGGAAAGGGGACACTGCAAGAGATTCTTCAGTCTTCTGGGTCCCATGAGCGGCCACCTTCAGCGCCTGGTGGGGAGGGAAAGAGCTGAGCTTAGGCTCGATGAGTATTGCTTGCTTCTTTGTGGGTCTGACTCCAGCGTAAAATCTCACTGGAGATCGTTCCCTGGAGGTGACTCCTTCAGCCGGGGCTCCCAGCACCACCACCGTCACCAGCAACAACGCTAACATCTGTAACACAGGAAACAAATTATGTTGGACAGAAGGACCAAGGGAGACATAATAACAACATGAAAGATACTCATTGTATTTGCACGCATCAGGCAAGAATAGACAGGGGCAAGATAGATGGAATATAAATACATAAATAAGTCAGGGTGAAGTCAGGAAATACCCCTTCAGGTTGGTGAGCGGAACGAGCTGGATGAAGGGATGGTGGAGGCAAGCACCGTACATAGTTTTAAGAGAAGGTATGAAAAAAATATTATTGCCGTTTATACAATTATTATGCATGTTGAACATTTTCTAATATATAACGATGAAAGAGACGAAAAAACGGGCCCGTCAAGCTTTCATCAGATATGATCAGGTAGATTGTTGGCGCTGGCACTTCGTTATTCTTTCTCTCTCTCACATACACACACACAGGAGGAAAACAGTCAGGGACCAGGTACTCAGACTGAGGAAGGAAGGTGGGGGATCACAGGAAACGACCGAGAAGTATGTGAGGAACTCAACGTGAGATTTAAGAAAGTATTTTCAGTGGAGACAGAAAGGACTCTAGCAAACCGGGTTGGTAGGGTACACCAACAAGTACTGGACACACTACACACAACCGAGGAGGAGGTGAAGAGGCTGCTAAGTCAGCTAAATACCTCAAAAGCGCTGGGACCGGACATCTCTCCGAGGGTCCTGAGAGAGGGAGCAGAAGCACTGTCTGTACCACTAACAACAAACTTCAACAGATCTATTGAAACAGAGCGACTACCTGAGGTGTGGAAGACAGCAAATGTAGTCCCAGTCTTTAAGAAAGGGGATAGGCAGGTAGCATTCAACTACAGACCAGTGTCACTGACATGTATAGCATGCAAAGTCGTGGAGAAGATTATCAGATGAGTGGTGGAATATCTAAAAAGGAATGAGCCTATATAAGATAACCAGCACGGTTTCAGGGATGGGAAATCCTGTATCACAAACTTACTGGAGTTTTACGACAAGGTGGCAGAAGGCAAGAGAGAGAGGGGGAAGGGTAGACTGCATTTTCTTGGACTTTAAGACGGCTTTCGATAAAGTTCTGCACAAGACATTAATGCAAAAGCTAGAGCAGGCAGGAATAACAGGAAAGACACTGCAATGGATCAGAGAATATCTGACAGGAAGGAAACAACGTGTGATGGTACGCGACGAATTGTTAGAGTGGGCACCTCTGACGAGCGGCCTTCCACAAGGGTCAGTCCTAGGACCGGTGCTCTTTCTTTTATATGTGAATGATATGACGGAAGGGACTGATTCAGAAGTGTCCTTGTTTGCAGACGATGCCATACTAATGCGAAGAATTCAGACGGACAAGGATCAGGTAGGACTAAAAAGGGATCTGGACAGACTACAGGCCTGGTCCAACAATTGACTCCTGAAGTATGACCTCACCAAGTGCAAAGTCATGAAGATTTGGAAAGGTCAAAGAAGACAGCAGACAGAGTACAGGGTAGGGGACTAATGACTGAAAACTTCTCTTAAGGAAAAGGATCTTGGGGTGAGTATAATACCGAGCACATCTCCTGAGGCACACAACCATACAACTACTGCAGCATATGGGCGCCTGGCAAATCTGAGAATAGCGTTTCGACACCTAAATAAGGAATCATTCAAGACTGTACCCCGTGTACATGAGACCCATATTGGAGTATGGAACCCACACCTGGTCAAGCACGTCATGAAATTATAGAAAAGTGCAAAAGTTTGCAACAAGACTAGTCCAGGCGCTAAGGGGTAGCAACAAGGGGTCACAACTGGAAGATGAAAACTCAGATGAGTCACAGGGATGTTAGGAAGTATTTCTTCAGTCATAGAGTTGTTAGGAAGTGGAACAATCTGGAGTGTGATGTAGTGGAGGTAGGATCAATATATAGCCTTAAGAAGAAGTATGATAAAGCTCATGGAGCAGGGAGAGAGTGGACCTAGTAGCAACAAACGAAAAGGCGGAGCCAGGAACTGTGACTCGACCCCTGCAACCACAGTTAGGTGAGTACACACACAACCAACATAGCAGTGTCGACTGACACACCCAGGAGAATCCTCCCCACACAGTTGGGCTTTTTATGATCGTTATTAAAGCTTCCCACACATCGCCGTTGCTGGGATTATCTCCTGTTGAACGCCGCTAATAAAGCCTGGTAACGGCACCTTTAACAGTGTGGCAAACTTGACTTATTCAACCACAATAATTTTACCAAGCAATCAGCCAGTTATTTACGCTATAACATCAACGTAATGGATTCTCATTTGGTGAAATTTATATAATTATATATATATATATATATATATATATATATATATATATATATATATATATATATTATATATATACACACACACACACACAACACACACACACGAGTGAGAGGGAGATCGCTGTCAACAGGATTCGAACCCACTACAGGGAGACTGGCAAGGTTCTGCAAATGTCTCACAAGCTGGCCAGCCTGGTTTACAAGCCATGTTTCTGCTTGTTTTTGCATGCTACATTCGTATAAAAATTTCTTGTGAGGTCAGAAGATACAGGAGGAGAATGAAATAGCTCGAACCCGTGCTTGACTCTCACCGGTGTGCCCGGGCTGCCAAGAAACATGGCTTGTGAACCTGGGTGCCCACCTTCTGAGGCATTGTGGCCGAGTGGTCTAGAGCGTTACTTCCGGAACCTTGTATTGTTCCAGTCACGGTATTGTACCTTTTTATTTATATGCAAGTCAAACAAAAAAAATAATTGCTAAATTACTGTTGGTCTAAAATTAAAACAAAAATTGTACCATAATATTTTCTACGTAAGATTATTTACCGTAAAAAATGCATTTATTAATTTACATAAATTCCTTGATAACCAGTACGAGTTTGTCACTGTTGCTCGCAGCACCGACTCTTACGAGGAGTGGAACGTAGTTTTATTCCGTTCACAGTGAAGCGTTAAACCCGTAAGAATTATATAGCTCCTAGGAGGTGTGAGGTAACCAGGTCTCTTTAAGATAAGATTTTCATCGGATTTTTAACCCCGGAGGGTTAGCCACCCAGGATAACCCAAGAAAGTCAGTGCGTCATCGAGGATTGTCTTATTTCCATTGTGGTCCTCAGTCTTGTCCCCCAGAATACCACCCACACCAGTCCACTAACACCCACGTACCTACTTCCTGCTATGTGAACAGGATGACAGGTGTAAGGAAACACGTCGAAATGTTTCAACCCCGCCGGGAATTGAACCCGGGCCCTCAATGTGTGAAGAGAGAACTTGAGCCACCAGGCCACCTGGGCACCTATAGACGGTAACTTCGTAGAAGCCAGACACTCAGGTGTCTGGCAAACCTCTGTGTATCTTCAAGATTAAAGACATGTGCAACAGTTGGGTGTCTTTAATGGTGAAGCGTTTCGCCTATATAGTAGGTTTTTCAGTCAAATACAGAGGCAACAGTAAATAATGAAATGAAGATGTAATCAGGCCATCAACCTTGGAGGAAAAGTATTTGAGGTGGTCAGTCCCTCAGCCCAGGTATGGTCTGGAACGATATATCGTTCCAGACCATGGAGCGGAACTCTTTTCCAGGCTGAGGGACTGACCACCTCAAATACTTTTCCTCCAAGGTTGATGGACTGATTGCATCATCTTTATTTCATCATTACTGCTGCCTCTGTATTTGACTGAAGAAGCCTGTGTTCAGATACTGATTCTTCGCGATAAGATAAACATTGGTGGTTGACCGGCAATATGGCGGACGCCCATCCTGCGAAGTCACCTGTAAACTACAGGAAATCCGTTCACACAACAGTACAATACCTGGAAGATGATTGTTAAGCTTATTATGAGCTTGGAGCGGTCAAGTGATTAGAGTGTAGGATTTAGCGCTCATTATCGCTAACGAGCGCTAAGCATAACGCCCTGAGGTGTTACGGTGAAGCTAACTTGTCTTGGCTTCTGGTAACAACAAAGTTCCCCAGAGAACAGGGGGGAACTAATTATGTTAACTGTTTAGTGGTGGAGGCGTTTGTTCTCAGGTGTGTGTGTGTGTGTGTGTGTGTGTGTGTGTGTTGTGTGTGTGTGTGTGTGTGTGTGTGTGTGTGTGAGTGATATATATATATATATATATATATATATATATATATATATAATATATATATATATATATATAAATATATATATTGTACCCACGGAACAAGTGGTATTGATCAATAACACTGTGCTAGCCAAGGATTCGAACCTCTGTTGTGCAAGACAGGTATATTGTTGAATTAGACACATGTGCAACTCTTGGGTATCTTTACTGAGGAAACGTTTCGCCACACAGTGGCTTCATCAGTCCATACAAAGGAGAAACATGAAGAACATGAGGAGAATGAGGTAATCAGTCCCTCAGCCTTGAGTCGATGTGGTCAGTCCATCAATCTTGAATAGATTGATGGACTGACCACATCGACTCAAGGCTGAGGGACTGATTACCTCATTCTCCTCATGTTCAAGTTTCTCCTTTGTATGGACTGATGAAGCCACTGTGTGGCGAAACGTTTCCTCAGTAAAGATACCCAAGAGTTGCACATGTGTCTAATTCAACAATATACCTGTCTTGCACAACATAGGTTCGAATCCTTGGCTAGCACAGTGTTATTGATCAATACCACTTGTTCCGTGTGTACAATTTTATATATATTACACACACACACGTGTGTGTGTGTGTGTGTGTGTGTGTGTGTGTATAATGTATATATACACACACACAAATAAGTTTTTTCTCCCTTCTGTACCACCCTCTATCCTTTACTCCCTCCCTACGAAAGTAAGAGAGAGAGAGAGAGAGAGAGAGAGAGAGAGAGAGAGAGAGAGAGAGAGAGGAGAGAGAGAGAGAGAAACAAAATTCAAGAATGACTTACCATCAGATTCTCAAAGTTCTTTAGCAACGTGACCTCCAGTTCCTTCACCACCACAAGTCACAAACGCACCAATTTTTAAAGTCACTATCACCTTTCCCCAAAGGTCACCAGAGTCCCCGAATCACGGGGTTAACCACCAGGGGGACGACAATCATAACCCCCCTGTCCCCACTATGAATTACTTTCCACCCCTACAAGAAATTTTTGGAAAGCTGAAAAAAATTTTCAGCCCAGGGCTAAATGGGTTTTAAGGGTTAAAGTCCCTTTCCGCGATCCAGAAGAATTTGCCAGAATTTTTCTTATTTTTCCCAAAAAAAATCCCAGAAATTTTTTCCCCCCTTCCCGCAGTTTTAAAAACCCAACGATAAAGTACAAGGGG